AAAGGGAAAGGAAAGGAAAGGGAAAGGAAAGGAAAGGGAAAGGAAAGGAAAGGGAAAGGAAAGGAAAGGGAAAGGAAAGGAAAGGGAAAGGAAAGGAAAGGGAAAGGAAAGGAAAGGGAAAGGAAAGGAAAGGGAAAGGAAAGGAAAGGGAAAGGAAAGGAAAGGGAAAGGAAAGGAAAGGGAAAGGAAAGGAAAGGGAAAGGAAAGGAAAGGAAAGGAAAGGAAATCTGACTCCATTGCTTGGGAAGTTTCATTTCCAGGGCATGGACCAGAGTGGGACAATGTCTATCCCTCTTTTGGGAGTTGGTGATTTAATGAATGTGGCAGCTATTGTATGTGTTTGGGACCATCACAGCCGTTTTTCTTCTGCCGATACTTTCTTTTCTTTTCGGCTTTAATGAGTGTTTCTCTAATTGACTTGATGATTTCTGTTTAATTAGCACATTTTGGAGGAATGATCAAAAAATAATAAGATAAAGTAATCAGACAAGCATAGTGCAAAGGAATAATAGCTCCTTTGTGGGGCTAATTGGAATGGACAGTCCATCGGCTAGTTTGGGGCTCCTCACAGTTGGATATTCCCAGCCTAGTTGTGCCTTGTGCCCAGAGCTTCCAAACACCCACATAGACCCAGCTTCGGTAGTCATTTCAATTAGCTTTAATGAGCTGTGAATGAGCCCCAAGGAGAACCGAGTCTGGACCTGACCTGTTTTGCCATTGCCCAGATTTTGCTTAAGGCTGTGGCAGTGAAGTTTGCCCAGAACCAAAGTCAGGTGCCAGGCCCTGGGTAACACCAGGCAGAGCATCTCCAGGGAGGGCTGTGTCCCAGCTCACACATCCTGTATAGGACAAGAGGGGGTTGCCCACTGGGATGTGAGATGGGCGGATAAATGGTACTAGGAATCAACAAGTTTGGCAGAAGCAAGAAGGAGGGGAAGCAAAAAGCAGCAGCTGAAGGAGCAACCAGAAATTGGAGCTACCGCTGTTGTGCCTACTCCCATTTTTGTGTTTGTTCCTGAACACTCTGTCCCTCCTGTTCCCATACATACACCTCTGGAAGAAGCTCCAGTCTCCTCCCAAGGAGCAGGAACAGTGCTTTCCATGGGTTACATCACCTATGGCTCCTTGGAGATACACAGGTTGAGCTCTGCTTGCTCAGACTCGACTGCCAGCCATGCTTACAGCTGATGTTGTAGGTGTAGCACCTTGATGGCCATTTGTTTGCGCTGTGATGGCTAGGAATTAATTAGGAGATGGGCTCCAGGCTGCTGTGACAGCTGTCTGCGTGCGGCACTTCCCAGCAGTTTGATTAAATCTGTGACACTCCAGATGTGAGTGCCCTGTGCAATGGCACATGGTTTGCTCTTAAACTCCACTTAAACCGTGACTGCTCTTCTGGTTTTAATCAAAGGCAAATAAATGCCTTAAGACAGAAATCTGTGCAGAGGAATTAGTAGGGATGTCTCTGGGGCGTGCAGAGTGGGACATGGAAAGGGACCCCCCGTGCCAAATTAGGGCTGACAACGCTTGCAGTAAGCTGGGCTGGTGATGCTGCAGCCCTGAGCAGGTGGTGCATGGCCAGCTGTGGCTGCGCTCATCCTGCAAACCCTCTGCTTTACTCACATCCAGTCAAGCTGCAAACGAAACACTTCCCACAGCCTGACAGTTCAGAGAGCACAGGTTCCCTGATTCATTTAACCTGTTCACAGTGCCTGCCTCTTCAAATCCATCACCCCAAAATGGACGGTACTTGGCCACTACATATTCCTTACTGGCCAGGAGTGTACATGCAATCCACCACTGAGCCCTGCTGCAGCCTGAGGAAAGTCTCATTGCCTGCATTTCAAGGAGGAGGCTCATCTGTAACTTAGAGGCGGGGATTGAGCCTTGCAAAACACAGGCGTGACTGGCTGCAACACCCCCTTCCTTGCTGCCTTCTCCCCTAGCTATGGCCTGTTTCTCGGTTCCTTTTCACCCACTTGTCAGAGGCAAGGCTTTGGCAACAGCCATCACTTCCCCATGTTCCCAGCAGGTTGTGGAGGAGGCAGAAGAAAAGTCCTTTTTCTTCTGTCCATGCTCATTGAGGTTCCCACCCTTGCCAAATTGCCTGTGTTGCCATCAGCTGGCTGCTCACCCTGCTGCATTTCACTTCTGGGTCAGCCTGCACCTGCGCAAGGCCCACCATGGCCACCAGAAGGCTGGCTGAGCTTGCCCTACACAGCAGGTGCCCAAGGGCTGTGGTGCCAGCATCACTGGAGCAGGCTCCAACCTGCTCCTGTGCTGGTGTGCCAGGAGCTGATGCAGGTGTGGAGTGTGGAGATGGGGAGGAGTACTGGGCTGCGACTGCTGGTGCAGGCACAATGGATGGTAGGAGATGTGCTTTTGGAGATGGGTTCTCCATCCAGTCTGGGGCACAGGAGCCTCTTCCACCTTGAGCTGCCTGAAACTGTCAGATGGTCCATTATTATTGACCTGATTCATATCTAAACCAGGGAGGTGAAAGCTGTCTTATCCCATTACTAATCCCCTAAACCAGGCCCTTCAATACCTTCTCCTTGCTGCCCCTTCCTCATTGCTACAGCAGGTGGTTGCAGGCTGAGGGCACATCCTTCTGGGGCTTTCCCTGAGCTCCATGGTGAAGACAAGGACTCTAAAACCCACCAAAATCTGGCTCTGGAGTTATCATCAGCTGAGGGGGTACATGCCAAAATGCTGCATGTTTCTGCAATCCCCTAAGGACTTGCAAGGCTTCTTTTTGGGGTCTGAGTGGGACAGCTCCAGGCATCCATCCCATCATGTGTGCACTCCGTCCTATAGGCCATGGCAGGTGTCTGACATGGTGGTGGAGCAGCCATGGGGAGGAGGGAACAATTTGAGGACTGTCCCGCCTCACTGGGTCCCTAGTCCTTCGAAGTGCAGCAGGGATGGGAGTGCTCCAGCACCAACTGCAGGCAGCACTCACCCCCTGAGACATGGGACTGCACTGAGGCCAAGGTCCTGTGACCTTGGGCTGCTCTGGTAGAGCCCTATGGCTGCTGGGGCACCTTGAGGCTGCTGGGCCGGCTGGCACAGCCACCCTGCCCATGGAGAAGGGGGGCAAACCCCAGGGAAATTAGAGCAAGGGGCGATGTTTGATGTTCTGCTCTTTAAGCGATTAATAATCTTTCGGCGTCGGAGAATCAGCTGAAAATCTTCCTTAGAAAATAATGAGCAGAGAAACATTTACTGATTAGTCTAATCCCAGCTAATCCTATCTGATGAGCATATATCAAGATATCCTTTAACTGATTTATTGTCCAAAGGACTGGTGGAGATGGCCTTCTTCACCATGGCTGGGGGAGCTGGGGGTGGCAGCAGGAGTGTCCCCACACCCCATCCCACTGTCCTGTCCTGGGAACGGGTGTGTCCCCATCCCCCAGGGCACGGCCTCGGTCACCCTCGCCCTGGGCAGCAGCGCCATATCCAGGCCACCTTGCCAGCATGGGGAGATTTAATCGCTATTTCCATTACTGCATCTATCGGCTTTCTCTTGGGTTTGAGCTTTTATGTTTCATAAACTGATTAGGAGCAATTATACGTGCTTTATCCCCAAACTTTCCAAATGCCTAGGCCATATGCATATTTAAGGCTTCATCATCTCTCCCAACAGCTCAGCCTCAATGTAAACTGCTGAAATCAAGCTGATTCTGGGACAACATCAAAAATTAGGGTTTTAACCACTAATATCTGCTCGAACAGGAAATTTGTTGTGGGTGGTGGCCGGATTATGACTTCTAATTACTGTGGCAGATCCTCCCTGCCTAGCAGTGAAAGTCTCCTATTCCAGCAAAACTGCAGCAAAACCACTCTGGAGATGCAAAGATGCCCAAGGGGATCCCGGGGTGCTCTGTGCCTGGGCAGGGGGCAGCCCTGCGTGGAGATGCCCCAAGCATCTCCTCATCCTGAGCACACAAGTGCCCTGAATCGGCGGCTTGGGAAGTCTGACCACACTCCCACACCTCCCATTCCCCTCACACCCCTTTGCCTTTCTTGGTGAGAAGCACGATGGTCCAGTGGGTCCCCCCCGCCAGCCCCCAGCGCCGGCCACGGCAATTATCCTAAATGAAAGTTATTGTTCTGCTAATCCTGGGAACAGCTTGCGATGGGAGATTTGGGTCTTTCTTTAATAATGCAAAGTTAATGCGGAGTCCCCTTGTAATTATCTTTATCAGAAGGACCCTCGGTTAATCTGACCGTCCAATGAAGGCCTGGATCAGGCTGCCCATGTAAGCCGGTTGTAAATCATTTCCATCAACAGATGAAGGGAAGGGGGGAAAAAAATTGCATCCCAGGTGCAAGAATCTGGGAGCAAAAGGGAGCACAGAGGCCAGTCACCTCGAGGTGGCCCTGGCCCCAGTGACAGGACACCTGGGGTCAGGGAGGGTCCTGCCCAACAGAGTTCCAATCCCTGACTCCAGGGTGCTGAGCCCAGTGGGATGTCCCATCTGGGATGTGGGGCTGAAGGGTCTTGGGCTGGAATGGGCATACTGGGGAGTACACTGCCGAGCACTGGAAGAGGTGATATGGGAATGTAGGGACATACCAGGGGGTTCCCGGGAGGAAACCCAAAGAGGGATACCCAGAGAAGGGGATGTGAGGGGGATTTATGGTGGTTGGGAGGGAACAGGGTGGCCGGGCCGGGCCGGGCCAGGCCAGGCACTGAGAGGGGGTCCTGGGGAGGATCTGAGCTAAACCGCAGGGGATCAGGCAGGGGGTGGTGAGGACCGAGGGGCGGGGGCCGAGGGGAACGGAGGGAGGGACG